TTTTTGTATTTTTGGTAGAGATGGGTTTCACCATGTTGATCAGATTGGTCTCCAACTCCTGACCTTGTGATCTAGCTGCCTCGACCTCCCAAAGTGCTGGGATTACAAGCGTGAGTCACCAAGTCTGGCCAATAATTTTTTCTAATTTTTTTTTTTTTTTTTTGAGACGGAGTTTCGCTCTTGTTACCCAGGCTGGAGTGCAATGGCGCGATCTCGGCTCACCGCAACCTCCGCCTCCTGGGTTCAGGCAATTCTCCTGCCTCAGCCTCCTGAGTAGCTGGGATTACAGACACGTGCCACCATGCCCAGCTAATTTTTTGTATTTTTAGTAGAGACGGGGTTTCACCATGTTGACCAGGATGGTCTCGATCTCTCGACCTCGTGATCCACCCGCCTCGGCCTCCCAAAGTGCTGGGATTACAGGCTTGAGCCACCGCGCCTGACCAATTTTTTCTATTTTTATTAGAGGTGAGTTTTCATCATGTTGGCCAGGCTAGTCTCAAACTCCTAATGTCAGTTGATCTGCCCACCTCGGCCTCCCAAAGTACTGGGATTACAGGCATGAGCCACTGTGCCTGACCTTAATCTTTATTGAAATAAGATTTTCGGCTGGGCGCGGTGGCTCAAGCCTGTAATCCCAGCACTTTAGGAGGCCGAGGCGGGTGGATCACGAGGTCGAGAGATTGAGACCATCCTGGTCAACGTGGTGAAACCCTGTCTCTACTAAAAATACAAAAAATTAGCTGGGCATGGTGACACGTGCCTGTAATCCCAGCTACTTAGGAGGCTGAGGCAAGAGAATTGCTTGAACCTAGGAGGCGGAGGTTGCGGTGAGCCGAGATCGCGCCATTGCACTCCAGCCTGGGTAACAAGAGTGAAACTCCTTCTCAAAAAAAAAAAAAAAAAAAGTCTGAGTTTTGCTCTTGTTGCCCAAGCTGGAGTGCAATGGCACAATCTTGGCTCACTGCAACTTCTGCCTCCCGGATTCAAGCGATACTCCCACCTCAGCCTCCTGAGTAGCTGGGATTACAGGCATACACCACCATGCCCAGCTAATTTTTAGTAGAAACAGGGTTTTACCATGTTAGCCAGGCTGGTCTCAAACTCCTAACTTAGGCGATCTGCCCGCCTTGGCCTTCCAAAGTGTTGGGCCACCAGCTGCTGGCCAACCCTGTCTCTTAAATAAATATTTGGCTGGGCTCGGTGGTTCATGCCTGTAATCCCAGCACTTTGGGAGGCCAAGGCAGACAGATCACCTGAGGTTGGCAGTTTGAGATCGGTGTGACCAATAGGGAGAAACCCCGTCTCTACTAAAAAAGTACAAAATTCTGTAATCCCAGCCCTTTGGGAGGCCGAGGCGGGTGGATCACCAGGTCAAGAGATGGAGACCATCCTGGTCAACATGGTGAAACCCCATCTCTACTAAAAAATACAAAAAATTAGCTGGGCATGGTGGTGTGTGCCTGTAATCCCAGCTACCCAGGAGGCGGAGGTTGCGGTGAGCCGAGATCACGCCATTGCACTCCAGCCTGGGTAGCAAGAGCGAAACTCCATCTCAAAAAAAAAAAAAAGTACAAAATTGCTTCTTCAACAAAACACCAAATGGTGGATGACGCCGGTGCAGCAGGGTGGGGTAGGGGGGCCCTGGGATGGGGATCCACGGTGGCTTCCGAGGAGGTTTCAACAGTGATATCCGGGGCCAGGGTCGCGGCCGTGGATGGGGCCGGGGCCAAGGCCGCGGAGTTCATGGAGGCAAAGCCGAGACTAAGGAGTGGATGCCTGTCACCAAGTTGGGCCACCTGGTCAAAGACATGAAGATCAAATCTCTGGAAGAGATCTATCTCTTCTCTCTGCCCATTAAGGAATCTGAGATCATTGACTTTTTCCTGGGGGCCTCTCTCAAGGATGAGGTTTTGAGGATTATTCCGGTGCAGAAGCGGACCCGTGCTGGCCAGCGCACCAGGTTCAAGGCGTTTGTTGCTATTGGGGACTATAATGGTCATGTCGGTCTGGGTGTTAAGTGTTCCAAGGAGGTGGCCTCTGCCATCCGTGGGGCCATCATCCTGGCCAAGCTCTTCATTGTCCCTATGCACAGAGGCTACTGGGGGAACAAGATGGCAAGCCCCACACCGTCCCTTGCAAGGTGACAGGCCGCTGTGGTTCTGTGGTGGTGCGCCTCATCCCCGTGCCCAGGGGCACTGGCATCATCTCAGCACCTGGGCCCAAGAAGCTGCTCATGATGGCTGGTATTGATGACTGCTACACCTCAGCTAGGGGTTGCACTGCCACCTTGGGCAACTTTGCCAAGGCCACTATTGATGCCATCTCTAAGACTTACAGCTACCTGACCCCTGATCTCTGGAAGGAGACTATTCACCAAGTCTCCCTATCAGGAATTCACGGACCACCTTGTCAAGACCCACACCAGAGTCTCCGTGCAGAGGACCCAAGCTCCAGCTGTGGTTACAACATAGGGTTTTTATACAAGAAAAACAAAGTGAATTACATTGAAAAAAAAAAAAAAAAAAAGTACAAAATTAGCAGGGCGGGGTGGTGGGTGCATGCCTGTAATCCCAGCTACTTGGAAGGCTGAGGCAGGAGAATCGCTTGAATCCAGGAGGCAGAGGTTGCCGTGGGCCAAGATCGAGCCATTGCACTCCAGCTTGGGCAGCAAGAGTGAAACTCCATCTCAAATAATAAATAGTCAGCTGTCCTGAATTTAGATCCATACTTTAGCACATACCAGCTATGTGATTTGGTTTTCTTGAGACCAATCTCACACTGTCGCTCAGGCTGCAGTATGTAGTACAGTGGCATGGTCTCAGCTCACTGCAGTCTCCGCCTCCTGGGTTCAAGCAATTCTGCCTCAGCCTCCTGAGTAGCTGGGACTACAGGGTGCGCCACCACACCCAGCTAATTTTTTTGTAGTTGTAGTAGAGACGGGGTTTCACCATGTTGGCCAGGATGGTCCCTATCTCCTGACCTCCTGATCTGCCCGCCTTGGACTCCCAAAATGCTGGGATTACAGGCATGAGCCACTGCGCCTGGCCTACATTTAAATTTTTATGATAGTCCCCACAATATTGATAGTTTTTTTCATTTATTAGTGAATTATAATCCAATCTGGGAACCTGCATAACATTTAGTTCTGTCTGAGTCTGTTAATGTACGAAAGCTGGCCAGGCACGGTGGCTCAAGCCTGTAATCCCAGCACTTTGGGAGGCTGAGGCGGGTGGATCACGAGGTCGAGAGATCGAGACCATCCTGGTCAACCTGGTGAAACCCCGTCTCTACTAAAAATACAAAAAATTAGCTGGGCATGGTGGTGCGTGCCTGTAATCCCAGCTACTCAGGAGGCTGAGGCAGGAGAATTGCCTGAACCCAGGAGGCGGAGGTTGCCGAGACCGCGCCATTGCACCCCAGCCGGGGTAACAAGAGCGAAACTCCGTCTCAAAAAAAAAAAAAGAGGTTGGCTTTCGTACATTTCTTTTTTTTTTTTTTGAGACGGAGTTTCGCTCTTGTTACCCAGGCTGGAGTGCAATGGCGCGATCTCGGCAACCTCCGCCTCCTGGGTTCAGGCAATTCTCCTGCCTCAGCCTCCTGAGTAGCTGGGATTACAGGCACGCACCACCATGCCCAGCTAATTTTTTGTATTTTTAGTAGAGACGGGGTTTCACCAGGTTGACCAGGATGGTCTCGATCTCTCGACCTCGTGATCCACCCGCCTCAGCCTCCCAAAGTGCTGGGATTACAGGCTTGAGCCACCGCGCCCGGCGAAAGCCAACCTCTTTCTTTTCTCATATTGTTTAATTTTTTAAGGAGTTAAGACTAGTTGTCATTATATAAGATCCTACATTCTGGATTCATTTGTTTTACTTGTGTTTTACATAGTCTATCCATAAAATTTCCTGGAAACTGGATATTAGATTTAAAGGCTTGATGAGATTACATAAAACAAGTTTGGCAAGAGTACTTCACTCATGATAAAATGCATAAATAAATGTTTGCTAAATGAGTCTGGGGCCAGATGCCGTGGCTCAGGCCTGTAATCCCAGCACTTGAGGAGGTGGAGGTGGGTGGATTTCTTGAGGTCAGGAGTTCAAGACCAGCCTGACCAACGTGGCAAAACTGTCTCTACTAAAATTAGGAAAATTAACCAGGCATGGTGGTGGGCACCTGTAATTTTAGCTGTTGAGGAGGCTGAGGCAGGATAATTGCTTGAACCTGAGAGTCAGAGGTTATAGTGAGCCAAGATCCATCTAATTAATTAATTAATTAATTAATATCAGTGAATCGGGCCAGGCGCAGTGGCTCAAGCCTGTAATCCCAGCACTTTGGGAGGCTGAGGCGGGTGGATCACGAGGTCAAGAGATCGAGACCATCCTGGTCAACATGGTGAAACTCCTTCTCTACTAAAAATACAAAAAATTAGCTGGGCATGGTGGCGTGTGCCAGTAATCCCAGCTACTCAGGAGGCTGAGGCAGGAGAATTGCCTGAACTCGGGAGGCGGAGGTTGCGGTGAGCTGAGATCGCGCCATTGCACTCCAGCCTGGGTAACAAGAGCAAAACTCCGTCTCAAAAAAAAAAAAAAAAAAAAAAGATCAGTGAATTTTGGATTGGCCCAGATATTCATGTTTGTAAGTTAGGTCCTTATATTCATGTTTGTAAGTTAGGTCTGAGCTGGGTTTTGGAGGGAACAAAGACTGTTGACTCAGATTGGAAAACCATTTCTTTCTCCCTTCAAGGCTAACACTCATCTTGAGTCTTTTTATTTTCTTTTTTGTTTGAGACAGAGTCTCAAACCAGCCTGTTATCCAGGCCGGAGTGCAGTGTGGTGTGATCTCAGCTCACTGCAACCTCCACCTCCTGGTTACAGTCTCCCAAGAAAGCTGGGACTGTCGCAAAGTGTTGGGATTACAGGTGTGAGCCATTGCGCCCGGCCTCATTTTGAGTCATTTTATCTTTAACCATTTTCTTTCTCTGTTTGCTTTTTTTCCAGGATCCCAGCTGGCTACTGCTTTGTAGAATTCGCAGATTTGGCCACAGCTGAGAAGTGTTTGCATAAAATTAATGGGAAACCCCTTCCAGGAGCCACACCTGTAAGGACATTTAGATAATGATGATGTTGCCATTATTATTGTCATTGCTTACTACAATCTCTTGAATCCCTACTGTATACTTATTTTATGTAATCCTTTTATTTAATCCTGTAACAACCCAGTACAGTAGGCATTGTTATCTTTGTAGGCCCAGGAAAGTGAAGCTCAGGGAAGTGAAATAACTTGCCCAAGGCAACACAGGTAGTAAGTGGCAGAACCAGGATTCAGACAAAAGACTGGTTACTTCTTAAATCCATGCCCTTCCCATTCTGCATTGCTGCCTCCCATAACAGAAGACTTGAAACTCTGGACCTCTTGCCTGATTGAGAAACTAGAACAGGCTGGCAGCAGCAAGGACACATTTCAAGAGAGTTGCATTCTGCTCTTCCCACAGTTACTTAGCTTACAGCTGCACCAGCTGGCACACCTGGGCTCATAGAACCATGGAGCTGGCAGTGCCCTTAGCGGTCATCCGTGCAACCCCCTCATTTTATACAGGAGAAAAAGCTGAGGCTTAGAGAGGGGGAGATGTTTTGGCCAAGGTAATTTGTTTCAGTTTTTTTCAAATATTGTTCAACTCTTGAAACACCTTTCTCTGTTTTAGTTCGTTTATTTTTAAATTTCCAGGCGAAACGTTTTAAACTGAACTATGCCACTTATGGGAAACAACCAGATAACAGGTAGGTACAAAGTCGTGTCTAGGGATAAGATGTGTCCCTGTGCCAGTTACTGCCGTATAGGAGGAGGGGAATCTGTTTGGCTGCACTTTGTCCCATGGTGAGGGGCACCGCCCTCTCACTTCCCTGCTCCAGTGGACCTTCCTGGTGTGCTTCATGCAAGGCCATGGCTTTTCTGTATTTGGTCCCTATCCCTGGCCTTCCCAACGCACTGCTACTCCTCAGAGTATTGAAGTCTTATTCAATAAGAATGGTCTGTTATCCAGGTCCAGTGGCTCCTGCCTATAATCCCAGCACTTTGGGAGGCGGAAGCAGACAGATTGCTGAGCCTAGAAGTTCAGGAACAGCCTGGGCAACATGGCAGAATCCTGTCTCTACAAAAAAATATAAAAATTAGCTGGATGTGGTGGCATGTACCTGTAGTTCCAGCTACTCAGGAGGCTGAGGCAGGAGGACCACCTGAGCCCAGGGAGGGCTACAGTGATCATGGCTACAGTGAGCCATGATTGTGCCACTGCACTCCAGCCTGGGCAATAGAGTGAGACCCTGTCTCAAGAGAAAAAACAGAGGCCGGGCGTGGTGGCTCACGATTGTAATCCCAGCACTTTGGGAGGCCGAGGTGGGTGGATCACTTGAGGCCAAGAGTTTGAGACCAGCCTGGCCAACTTGGCAAACCCCATCTATACTAAAAATACAAAAAAATGGGCCGGGCGCGGTGGCTCAAGCCTGTAATCCCAGCACTTTGGGATGCCGAGGCGGGTGGATCACGAGGTCAAGAGATCGAGACCATCCTGGTCAACATGGTGAAACCCTGTCTCTACTAAAAATACAAAAAATCAGCTGGGCATGGTGGCACGTGCCTGTAATCCCAGCTACTCAGGAGGCTGAGGCAGGAGAATTGCCTGAACCCGGGAGGCGGAGGTTGCGGTGAGCCGAGATCGCGCCATTGCACTCCAGCCTGGGTAACAAAGAGCGAAACTCCGTCTCAAAAAAATAAAAATAAAAAAAAAAATAAAAAAAATATTAGCCAGGCATGGTAGTGGGTGCCTGTAATCCCAGCTGCTCGGAAGGCTGAGGCAGGAGAATCACTTGAACCCAGGAGGCAGAAGTTGCAGTAAATGGAGATCGCACCACCACACTCCAGCATGGACAAAAGCGAAACTGTCTCAAAAGAAAACAAAACAAAACCAAAGAATTGACCTTTTTTTTTTTTTTTTTTTTTTTTTTTTTTTTTTTGAGGCGGAGTTTCGCTCTTGTTACCCAGGCTGGAGTGCAATGGCGCGATCTCGGCTCACCGCAACCTCCGCCTCCTGGGTTCAGGCAATTCTCCTGCCTCAGCCTCCTGAGTAGCTGGGATTACAGGCACGCGCCACCATGCCCAGCTAATTTTTAGTATTTTTAGTAGAGACGGGGTTTCACCATGTTGACCAGGATGGTCTCGATCTTGTGATCCACCCGCCTCGGCCTCCCAAAGTGCTGGGATTACAGGCTTGAGCCACCGCGCCCGGCCCAAGAATTGACCTTTTATAGCAACATAAATTGATTGGCATTTCAGGTTGCCATTTCAAAGCTTTAAAACTGTACCAAAAGCTTTAAAGACGTTTATATGCATTGACCCTATAATTCTGCTTTTCAGGATTTATTCATGGATTCATGCAAAGATTAGCCTCAGCTGTGTTCATTGAAGTATTGTATATAGTGGGTAAAGTTGGGGAAAACCCAAATAACCTAATAGTAGCGAAGTGATTAAATTATAATCATTAGTTAGGATGCTATGTATCCACTAACAAGTCATGTTGCAGTATCCTGACATGTCAAAATGTTGGCAATATGTTGAAACTGAAAAAAAATACTATCAACAAAATACGATGGATTGTATTTATGAACGTTTAGAAGAAAAGCGATAAGAAGACAAAAGTATATATATCAAAGCATTTTGGTGATTATCTTCAAGTGGTTGGTTATAGCAATTTTATTTTTCTTTGTGATTTTGTATATTCTTTTTTCTTTTTTTGGAGACAGAGTTTCGCTCCTGTTGCCCAGGCTGGAGTGCAATGGCATGATCTTGGCTCACTGCAACCTCCGACTCTCAGGTTCAAGTGATTCTCCTGCCTTAGCCTCCTGAGTAACTGTGATTACAGGCATACACCACAATGCCTGGCTAATTTTGTATTTTTAGTAGAGATGGGGGTTTCTCCATGTTGGTCAGGCTGTTCTTGAACTCCCGACCTCAGGTGATCCATCCGCCTTGGCCTCCCAAAGTGCTTGGGATTACAGTCATGAGCCACTGTGCCTGGTGCTTTTGTGTATTCTTGATATACAAGGAATATGTAGTGTACTTGAAATAAAATAACAAAAGTAGGCTGGGTGCAGTGGCTCATGCCTGTAATCCCATCACTTTGGGAGGCTGAGGCAGGTGAATCACAAGGTCAGGAGTTGGAGACCAGCCTGGCCAACATGGTGAAACCCCATCTCTACTAAAAAATACAAAAAATTAGCTGGGCCTGGTGGCACATGCCTATAGTTCAGCTATTTGGGAGGCTGAGGCAAGAGAATAGCACTCCAGCCTGGGTGACAGAGCGAGACTCCATGTCAACAAGAAGAAGAAAATAAAGGTTTGTGTGTTCGCTTATTTTTTGAATAGAATTGACCTCCTATAGCAGGAGTTGACAAACTTTGGCCTGATTTGTATCACCCACAAGCTCACGGTGGTTTTTAAGAAAGAGGTTGGTCATGGTGGCTCACACTTCTAATCCCAGCACTTTGGGAGGCTGAGGCAGGTGGATCACTTGAGATCAGGAGTTCAAGATGAACCTGGCCAACTTGGCAAAGCCCTGACTAATAAAAATGCAAAAAATTAGCTGGACATAGAGGTGCACGCCTATAATCCCAGCTACTTGGGAGGTTGAGGCAGGAGAATTGCTCGAACCTGGAAAGCAGAGGCAGTGAGCTGAGATCGTGCCATTGCACTCCAGTCTGGGCAACAAGAGCAAAACTCTGTTTAAAAAAAAAGAAAAAGAAAAGATTGGGGATTTATTTTTTGCTAGGCTTTATGTCCTTTGGAGCAGAGATCTAGTTCTTTTTTTCTTTTAACATCGATGTTTAAAATATGCAAGGAATACAGAATGCATTTTTATGAGGCTTATCTTTTGAGTGTCTCAGAGATGCACTTCTGACCCCATCCCCGAATCTGCACTCATGTAATACCTGGAGTCAGACGAGTTCTGTGTAGTCGGTGAGGGATTTGGGGCAGGCACTGCTTCCATAACTCTTCTGCCAGGACTGCTATAATGAAACAAGTAGGCCCTGGTTAATTAGAGTCATCATATGTGTTCCTTAAGGGGCCTGGGAAAACTACCTGGAATATGTGAAAGAGCCCTTCAGAGCAGTTATTTCTGTCTTTGCCTCTGAATCTTCTTGTTCTCTCTCCTCAGCCCTGAGTATTCCCTCTTTGTGGGGGACCTGACCCCAGACGTGGATGATGGCATGCTGTATGAATTCTTCGTCAAAGTCTATCCCTCCTGTCGGGGAGGCAAGGTGGTTTTGGACCAGACAGGCGTGTCTAAGTAAGGCCTTACCTGTTACTGATGCTTACCATGTTAGTTGCAGCATTCTCTCCTGAGTGGAGATGTTTTAGAAAGGCCATGTAGCATAGCGATTATGACCACAAGCTCTGGAGCTAAACTGCCTGGTTCGAATCCCAGCTCCAATACTGGTGAGGGAGAGTGCCAGTATTGTAGATTGCCAGTACCTTTTAAGACAAGTTACTGGTGCCTCCGTGACCCTTACAGCCACATCTGTAAAATGGAGCTGATTTTTTTTTTTTTTTTTTTTTTTTTTTTTTTTTTTTTTTGAGACAGAGTTTCGCTGTTGTTACCCAGGCTGGAGTGCAATGGTGTGATCTCGGCTCACCCCAACCTCCGCCTCCTGGGTTCAGGCAATTCTCCTGCCTCAGCCTCCTGAGTAGCTGGGACTACAGGCACACGCCACCATGCCCAGCTAACTTTTTGTATTTTGAGTAGAGACGGGGTTTCACCATGTTGACCAGGATGGTCTCGATCTCTTGACCTTGTGATCCACTTGCCTCGGCCTGCCAAAGTGCTGGGATTACAGGCATGAGCCACTGCACCCGGCCAGAGCTGATTAATAGTAGCTGCCTGTAGGATTGATTTAAGGATTAAACGATAAAATACAAATAAGTCACATTTGAAATGCTTCATAGGTGTTTGCTGTTTTGCCCATTATTATTACTGAGCCTTTCAGTGTAGTTAGAAGTTTTCCACTTCAGGCCGGGTACAGTGGCTCACACCTGTAATCCTAGCACTTTGAGAGTCTGACACAGGCGGATTGCATGAGTTTAGGAGTTCCAGACCAGCCTAGGGAACATGGTGAAACCCTGTCTCTACTAAAATGCAAAAAATTAGCCAGGCATGCACCTGTAGTTTCAGCTACTCAGGAGGCTGAGGTAGGAGAATTGCTTGAATATGGAAGGTATGGGTTGCAGTGAGTCGAGATTGCACCACTGCACTCCAGCCTTGCTGACAGAGCGAGACTCTGTCGCCATAAAAAAAAAAAAAAAAAAAAGTGGGGCCAGGCACGGTGGCTCAAGCCTGTAAGCCCAGCACTCTGGGAGGCCAAGGCGGGTGGATCACGAGGTCAAGAGATTGAGACCATCCTGGTCAACATGGTGAAACCCCGTCTCTACTAAAAATACAAAAAATTAGCTGGGCATGGTGGCGTGTGCCTGTAGTCCCAGCTACTCGGGAGGCTGCAGCAGGAGAATTGCCTGAACCCAGGAGGCGGAGGTTGCAGTGAGCCAAGATTGTGCCATTGCACTCCAGCCTGGGTAACAAGAGTGAAACTCCGTCTGAAAAAAAAAAAAAAGAAAAAGTAAAAGTTTTCCACTTCAAAATTAGAAAAACCAGGGTGGGCATGGTGGCTCATACCTTTAATGCCAGCACTTTGGGAGGCTGAGGCAGGTGAATCACCTGAGGTCAGGAGTTTGAGACCAGCCTGGCCAACATCAAAGCCCTATCTCTACTAAAAAAATGCAAACATTGACCGGGTACAGTGGCTCATGCCTGTAATCCCAGCACTTTGTGAGGCTGAGGTGGGTTGATCACCTGTGGTCAGGAGTTCAAGAACAGCCTGAGCAACATGGAGAAACCCTGGCTCTACTAAAAATACAAAAAATTAGACAGGCATGGTGGCGCATGCCTGTAGTCCCAGCTACTTGGGAGGCTGAGGCAGGAGAATTGCTTGAACCCAGGAGGCAGAGGTTGCAGTGAGCCGATATCACACTGTTGCACTCCAGCCTGGGCAATAAGAGTGAAACTCCATCTCAAAAAAAAAAAAAAAAAAAAAAAAAAAGTTAGCCGGGCATGGCAACACATGTCTGTAGTCCCAGCCATTCAGGAGGCTGAGGCGGGAGAATCACTTGAACCTAGGAGGCAGAGGTTGCATTGAGCTGAGATTACACCATTGTACTCCAGCCTGGGCAATAAGAGCAAAAATCCGTCTCAAAAAATATATATATATATAAAAGTTAGCTGGATGTGATGGCACGTGCCTGTAGTCCCAGCTACTCAGGAGGCTGAAGCAGGAGAATTGCTGGAACCCAGAAGGCAGAGGTTGCAGTGAGCCGGGATCACGCAACTGTACTCCAGTCTTGGTGACAGAGTGAGACTCTCAAAAAAAAAGAAAAGGGAAAAATGGAAATGAACAAACCTCAAGAAAGGCTCATTCCTGGGCCGGGCGCAGTGGCTCACGCCTGTCATCCCAGCACTTTGGGAGGCTGAGGAGGGTGGATCACGAGGTCGACAGATCGAGACCATCCTGGTCAACATGGTGAAACCCCGTCTCTACTAAAAATACAAAAAATTAGCTGGGCGTGGTGGCGCGTGCCTGTAATCCCAGCTACTCAGGAGGCTGAGGCAGGAGAATTGCCTGAACCCAGGAGGCGGAGGTTACGGTGAACCGAGATCGTGCCATTGCACTCCAGCCTGGGTAACAAGAGCGAAACTCCGTCTCAAAAAAAAAAAAAACCAAAAAAAAGGAAAGGCTCATTCTTTTTTTTTTTTTGAGATGGAGTTTCGCTCTTGTTACCCAGGCTGGAGTGCAATGGCGCGATCTCGGCTCACCGCAACCTCCGCCTCCTGGGTTCAGGCAATTCTCCTGCCTCAGCCTCCTGAGTAGCTGGGATTACAGGCATGCGCCACCACGCCCAGCTAATTTTTTGTATTTTTAGTAGAGACGGGGTTTCACCATGTTGACCAGGATGGTCTCGATCTGTCGACCTCGTGATCCACCCTCCTCAGCCTCCCAAAGTGCTGGGATGACAGGCGTGAGCCACCGCGCCCAGCAGGAAAGGCTCATTCTTGATCAGCATGGTAGTTATATGCTCAGGCTTTGAGAGTCCAACAGGTGTGGCTTTGAATCTTGCTTCTGCTATGACTTCCGGCAAGTTGTCAAACCTCACTGAACTGGTTAGCTCTTCAGTAAATGTGGATACCACTGGAATTTTTAGACAGTTTGATGAGATCACCCTGAGAAAATGCTCAGCACAGGATGGGCGCGGTAGCTCACGCCTCTAATCCCAGTACTGTGGGAGGCCGAAGCGGGCAGATAACCTGAGGTCAGGAGTTCAAGACCAGCCTGGCCAGCTTGGTGAAACCCTGTCTCTACTAAAAATACAAAAATTAGCCAGGTGTGGTGGTGCATGTCTGTAATCACAGCTACTCTGGAGGCTGAGGCAGTAGAATTGCTTGAATTCAGAAGGAGGAGGTTGCAGTGAGCCGAGATTGCCCACTGCACTTGAGTCTGGGGGACAGAATAAGACTCTGTCTCAAAAAAAAAAAAAAAAAAGAAAGAAAGAAAATGCTCAGTACAGTGCTAGGGAAGTAAGTACTTATTAAATGTTAGCTAGGATTAATTTTATCCCCCTGCTAGAATTTGAGCTCATGAGAGTGGGAACCTTGTCCTTCTATGACTGCGGCATCTTGTGCGTAGTGCAGTGCCTGGCATACAGGGCAGACTCTGTAAATATTTGCTGAATAATATTCTAATAGTTACTGTGCAGCAGAGTTCGGGAGAAGCTCCTATTTGGGAATGTTCCTCAGGTAAATGTGTCGAGAAGGATGGTGAACTGAATGTGGGAATTCCTGTAGATCTCAGAATCGTCTGTGCTTGAATCCTGACACTATGTAGATACCTGTTGATGGGACTCTCTTCCCTTCCTTTTTTTTTTTTAAATAAAGGTGGGGTTTCCCCATGATGGCCAGGCTGGTCTTGAACTCCTGATCTCAGGTGATCCACCCACCTCGGCCTCCCAAAGTGCTAGGATTACAGGCATGAGCCACCGCGCCTGGCCACTTCCTCCATATATATTTTTTTTTCACATACTCTGACCTTCTTCTAGTTTAATGGACTCTCTCTCTCTCTCTGCTCAGCCTCTTTTCCTTTCTGCATTCCTGTCTACCTTCTTATCCTCTTCTTTTTCATGTGTCCATTCTTAGACTTTCATCATATTTGTGATCTAAATTGTATATTATTTTTTCTTTCATGCAGGGGTTATGGTTTTGTGAAATTCACAGATGAACTGGAACAGAAACGAGCCCTGACGGAGTGCCAGGGAGCAGTGGGACTGGGGTCTAAACCTGTGCGGCTGAGCGTGGCAATCCCTAAAGCGTGAGTCTTGCAGGGAAGGTAGAGAGACTCTAGACTCCCCTCCAGACACTCTTTTTGTTTGCTGAGAATCAGGGCATCCATATGCTGGATAGGAGGCTGAAGCGGGATCCAATTCAAGTCACAAGTACTGAATGCCTGCTGTTTGCCAGGCTGTGAGTACTGAAGATGAACTAGCCCCACTCCTCCAGAAGCTTATAGTTGGGATAGAGTATGATTTGGAAAGGCTGATACATTCAGGTGTTGCTGGTGGCAGCATTGGAAAAGCTGTTTGGCTGTTCATACCTGATGTCCCTGCTCTTTGCCCAGTAGTCCCACTATTGGGAACTTATTCATGTAATTAATAACATTTGAGCAAAAGGAAAAAATTACTTCCAGTTTTAGCCTTATTTAATGAAAACTACAACCCTCCTATGAGTGTACCATGCTGTGGGAATGGATAATAATTAGTATTACAGACACTTGGCCAGCAGCAATGGCTCACAGCTGTAATTGCAGCACTGGGAGGCCACGGTTGGTGGATCACCTGAGGTCAGGAATTTGAGACCGGCCAGGCCAACATGTGAAATCCCGTCTCTACTAAAAATACAGAAATTAGCTGGGCATGGTGGTGCATGTCTGTAGTCCCCACAGCTTGGGAGACCGAGGCAGGAGAATCACTTGAACAACCTGGGTGGCAGAGGTTGCAGTGAGCCAAGATGGCGACAGTGCACTCAAGCCTGGGCAACAGAGTGAGACTCTGGCTCAATTAAAAAAAAAATATTCTAGACACTCTACAGAACATTATATACTTCACATGATACCTGTCATGCTAGGTAGAAAAACTTTTTTCCTTACAACTCCAAACTTTTCTGTGAATAGGATTTTTTGTTTGTTTTTTCCCTGAGCAGGGTCTCAAACTCACCCAGGCTGGAGATCATGGCTCACTGCAGCCTTACCCTCCCTGGGCTCAGGTGATCCTCGCATCCTAGCCTTCTGATTAGCTGGGACTATAGGTGCTCACCACCGTGCTTAGCAAATTTTTCTATTTTTTGTAGAGATAGGATCTTGCTTTGTTGCCCAGGCTGGTCTTGAATTCCTAGGTTCAAGCAGTCTGCCCACCTCGGCCTCCCAAAGTGTTGGCATTATAGGCATAAGCCACTGTGCCTGTCTGGATCTTTTATTATTTTTTTTAAATTTATTTTTATTTTTATTTATTTTTTTAAAGGTGGGGTTTCACCATGATGGCCAGGCTGGTCTTGAACTCCTGACCTCAGGTGATCCACCCACCTCGGCCTCCCAAAGTGCTAGGATTACAGGCGTGAGCCACAGCGCCCAGCCCGGATCTTTTATTCTTTAGCCAAATTAATTATTCTCAACTAGAGTGATTTTGCCTCCCAGGGGACAATGACAGCATCTGGAGACATTTTTGGTTATCACAACCAAGGATGTACTAATGGCACCTAGTGAGTTAGTGGGTATCAGCCAAGGATGCTACTAAATATCTTGTAATTCACAGCCTCCCACCACCTTATGACCTTATGTCAACAGATCCAGGCTGAGAGACGCTGAACCAAACTCTACCCTAGGAGTAGCTGAACTCTTAGGATAGAATTTCCAAATGCAAATGGCTATGGTTTTTTTTTTTTGTTTTTTTTTTAAGATGTAGTCTTGCTCTGTTGCCCAGGCTGGAGTGTAGTGGTGCTCAAACTCAGCTCACTGCAGCCTCCACCTCCTGGGTTAAAGTGATTCTCCTGCCTCAGCCTCTGAGTAGCTGTCACTACAAGTATGTGCCACCATGCCCAGCTAATTTTTGTATTTTTAGTAGAGATAGGGTTTCACATGTTGACCAGGCTAGTCTTGAACTGCTTATCTGAGGTGATCTGCCTGCCTCAGCCTCCCGAAGTGCTGGGATTATAAGCATAAGCCACCATGCCCCGCCAAATGGCCATGTTTTTTAAAAGTAATGATTTAGGAGTTTTTTTGTGGTTTAACTGTGTATAATACATTGAAGATCAGGCTTAGTGACTTCTCCCAAAAATATTTATTTGTTGTAAATTATTACTTTAAAACATTAAATTAGCTGGGCTTGGTGTGTTCCTGTAGTCCCAGCTACTTGGGAGGCTGAAGTAGTAGAATTTATTGAGCCCAGGAGTTCAAGGTTACAGTGAGCTATGATCACTCCACTGCACTCCAGCCCAGGCAACAGAGTGAGACCCTGTCTCTTAAAAAACAAAAGGCAAAAATAAAAAGTGGGGTGCCGTGGCTTGAGTCTATAATCCCAGCACTTTGGAAGGCTGAGGCAGGTGGATCACTTAAGACCAGAAGTTCAAGACCAGCCTGGCTAACATCGTGAAAAACCCTGTCTCTACTAAAAGTACAAAAATTAGCCAGGCCTCCCAGGATCAAGTGATTCTCCTGCCTTAGCCTCCTGAGTGGCTGGGATTACAGGGGTGAGCTACCATGCCTGTCCATTTTTTTTTTTTTGTTTTTTGAGATAGTGTTTCACTCTTGTTTCCCAGGTTGGAGTCCAGTGGTGCAATCTCAGCTCACAGCAACCTCTGTCTCCCAGGTTCAAGCAGTTCTGCTGCCTCAGCCTCCCAAGTTTAAGCGGTTCTCCTGCCTCAGCCTCCCGAGTAGCTGGGATTACAGGTGCCTGACACCACGCCCAACTAATTTTTTGTATTTTTAGTAGAGAATGGGTTTCACCATGATGGCCAGGCTGGTCTCGAAGTCCTGACCTCAGGTGATCCACCTGCCTAGGCCTCTCAAAGTGTTAGGATTATAGGCATGAGCCAGTACACCCAACCCATGTTTTTGTTTTTTGTTTTTCAAACCGGATATCCTTTTGTCAGTCCTGACAAAGTTTGATAAGAGAGACAAACCTATCCATTAAAACCCCATCTTTTAAAAAAAAAAAAACAGCCGGGTGCGGTGGCTCACGTCTGTAATCCCAGCACTTTGGGAGGCTGGAGGCGGGTGGATCACGAGGTCAAGAGATCGAGACCATCCTGGTCAACATGGTGAAACCCCGTCTCTGCTAAAAATACAAAAAATTGGCTGGGCATGGTGGCACATGCCTGTAATCCCAGCTAGTCAGGAGGCTGAGGCAGGAGAATTGCCTGAACCCAGGAGACGGAGGTTGCGGTGAGCCGAGATCGCGCCATTGCACTCCAGCCTGGGTAAGAGTGAAACTCCGTCTCAAAAAAAAAAAAAAAAACTCCTGTCTTAAAAACATGGTCTCTGGAGCCATACTGCCTCTTTTTGAGTCTCATATTAGTTGTCTGACTTTGGATAAATTACTTGACCTCTCTATTCCTGGGTTTCCTCATTTATAAAATACGAATAAGGAATAATGGTCTACTTACTGTTTATGGTTGTTTTGAGGATTAAAAGAGTTAATCGGTATAGCTGGGCGTGGTGGCTCACGCCTGTAATCCCAGCACTTTGGGAGGCTGAGGCAAGTGGATCACGAGGTCAGGAGATCGAGACCATCCTGGCCAATGTGGTGAAACCCCATCTTTAGAAAAAAGTAAAAGCAGTAAAACAGGGCCGGGTGTGGTGGCTCACGCCTGTAATCCCAGCACTTTGAGGCCAAGGTGGGCAGATCACAAGGTCAAGAGATCGAGACTATCCTGGCCAACATGGTTAAACCCTGTCTCTACTAAAAATACAAAAGTTAGCTGGGTGTGGTAGCGCGCATCTGTCCCAGCTACTTAGAAGGCTGAGGCAGGAGAATTGCTTGAACCCCCAGGAGGCGGAGGTCGCAGTGAGCCAAGATCCCGCCACTGCACTCCAGCCTGACACCTGGTGACAGGGCAAGACTCTGCCTCAAAAAAATAAAAATAAAATAAAACAGAAGAGTTAATTGGCATAAAGCACTTAAAATAGTTTCTGGCCATGTAGGCAGCGTTATGGAAATGTTTGCTTACACTTACTTTTGTTTCCCTCTTCATTTAAGGAGCCGTGTAAAGCCAGTGGAATATAGTCAGATGTACAGTTATAGCTACAACCAGTATTACCAGCAGTACCAGAACTACTATGCTCAGTGGGGCTATGACCAGAACACAGGCAGCTACAGCTACAGTTACCCCCAGTATGGCTATACTCAGAGCACCATGCAGGTAACCATGACTTGGCAAGTCTGGTCCCCTTGGGTTATGTTTCTCCTCTAGAAACAGGTCATTCTCTAGGATGGGATTGGTCAGGACAGGAGCTTGGGCTTCAGAAAAAATGCGGAAAGCTGAAGCAATCCAGTTCCTCTGGTTAAAAATAAGTCATTGTGGGCCAGGCACAGTAGCTCATGCCTGTAATCCTAGCACTTTGAGAGGCCCAGGCAGGCGGATCACCTGAGGTCAGGAGTTCAAAACCAGCCTGGCCAACATGGTGAAACCCTGCCTCTACTAAAGATGCAAAAAATTAGCCAGACATAGTGGCAGGTGCCTATAATCCCAGCTATTCAGGAGACTGAGGCAGGAGAATCGCTTGAAACTGGGATGCAGATGTTGCAGTGAGCCGAGATCACTCCGCTGCACTCCAGTCTGGGGGACAGAGCTAGACTCCCCCTCAAAAAATAAAAAATAAATAAGCTATTGTGATCATGAGCTGGGATTTCATCACCCCCTCACCCATGTCTCTGGTCTCTTGGCAGACATATGAAGAAGTTGGAGATGATGCATTGGAAGGTAAGGGCTCATGCGTTTCTTCCTCTGTCAGCCATTATCAGGTGACTACTCTGGCTTACACTGTGCTTTCAGCTAGAGGGAAGACAGGATAAATTCTACTCTGGAAGAACTTATATTCCGGTTAGACAGCCAGACGAATACGTACTTAGAATAAGATGTGTTGAGTGTTACCCAGAGGTGTGAGTACAGATCCCAGAGAGCCTGGGGCAGGCAGCTCCAAGAGAGCCCATCACCCCCTCGACATGTGGCATTCCATCCCAGGATGTGAGCCTCTAACCATAATACTGTTACTTTATATTTGCTTGGCCACTTGTAAAACAAATTTGACCATTATGACCAATAATGGTGCCTGGCCAATATTAATTTTTTAAAAAACTTTTTTCTTTTTCTCTTTTTTGATCCAGATTAAGTTGAGAATTCCCAATATTTTTTTTTTTTTTTTTTGAGATGGAGTCTTGCTCTGTTGCCAGGCTGGAGTGCAGTGGCGTGATCTCAGCTCACTGCAACCTCCACCTCCCGGGTTCAAGCAATTCTCCTGCCTCAGCCTCCCGAGTAGCTGGGACTACAAGGTGCACCACCACACCCAGCTAATTTTTGTGTTTTTAGTAGAGACAGCGTTTCACCATGTTGGCCAGGATGGGCTTGATCTCTTAACCTTGTGATCCGCCCAACTCGGCTTCCCAAAGTGCTGGGATTATAGGCATGAGCCACGGTGCCCGGCTGACAATTTTTTTTTGTTGTTGTTGTTTTGTTTTGTTTTGTTTTGTTTTGTTTTGTTTTGTTTGAGACGGAGTTTCGCTCTTGTTACCCAGGCTGGAGTGCAATGGCGCGATCTCGGCTCACTGCAACCTCCGCCTCCTGGGTTCAGGCAATTTTCCTGCCTCAGCCTCCTGAGTAGCTGGGATTACAGGCACGAGCCACCATGCCCAGCTAATTTTTTGTATTTTTAGTAGAGACGGGGTTTCACCATGTTGACCAGGATGGTCTCGATCTCTCGACCTCGTGATCCACCCGCCTCAGCCTCCCAAAGTGCTGGGATTACAGGCTTGAGCCACCGCGCCCGGCCTCCAGCTGACAATTTTTTAATTAAAAATATTTAGGCCAGGGGCTGGGTGCAGTGACTTATGCCTGTAATCCCAGCACTTTGCGAGGCCGAGGAGGGTGGATCACAAGGTTAAGAGATCAAGACCATCCTGGCTAACATGGTGAAACCCCATCTCTACTAAAAATAAAAAATTAGCTGGGCATGGTGGCACATGCCTGTAGTACCAGCTGCTCGGGAGGCTGAGGCAGGAGAATTGCTTGAACCTGGGAGGTGGAGGTTGCAGTGAGCCAAGATCATGCCACTGCATTCCAGCCTGGCAACAGAGTGAGACTCCATCTAAAAAAAATAAATAAATTTACTAGGCCAACTGCAGAGGCTCATGTGTATAATTCCAACACTTTGGGAAACTGAAGTGGTTAAATCACCTGAGGTCAGGAGTTCGAGACCAGCCTGGCTAACATTGTGAAATCCTGTCTCTACTAAGAATACAAAATTAGCCAGGCATGGTAGCACATGCTGTAATTACAACTCCTTGGGAGGCTGAGACAGGAGAATCGCTTGAACCCAGGAGATGGAGGTTGCAGGTTGGTCTCGATCTCTCAACCTTGTGATCCACCCGCCTCGGCCTCCAAAAGTGCTGGGATTACAGGCTTGAGCCACCGCGCCCGGCTTTTTTTTTTTTTTTTTTATACAGAGTCTTGCCCTTTCACTGAGGCTGGAGTGCAGTGGCACACTCTCCAATCTCAGTTGACTGCCACCTCCACCTCCCAGGTTCAAACCATTCTCTTGCCTCAACCTCCTGAATAGCTGGGATTACAGGCATGCGCCACTACGCCCGGCTAATTTTGTATTTTTAGTAGACACAGGGTTTCTCCATGTTGGTCAGGTTGATTTCAAAACTCTTGACCTCAGGTGATCTGCCCGCCTTGGCCTCCCAAAGTGCTGGCCAACTGCACCCAGTCAAAAGACTCAAAGTGGGCCGGGCGCGTTTGCTCACGCCTGTAATCCCAGCACTTCGGGAGGCCGAGGAGGGTGGATCATGAGGTCAAGAGATCAAGACTATCCTGGTCAACATGGTGAAACCCCGTCTCTACTAAAAATACAAAAAATTAGCTGGGCATGGTGGCGCGTGCCTGTGATCCCAGCTACTCAGGAGACTGAGGCAAGAGAATTGCCTGAACCCAGGAGGCGGAGGTTGCGGTGAGCCGAGATCGCGCCATTGCACTCCAGCCTGAGTAACAAGAGTGAAACTCCGTCTCAAAAAAAAATAATTAAAAAGACTCAAAGTTTGAAGTTTATTTTGAGGATTATTCTTCAACTTAAGTCATAGGGAAAATGTTTTAGGTCAAGAAAATGTTCATTAAAGGAAACAGATCACTTTCAGACCATGAACAAACTTGTCTAATTCATAATGTTTTAAATTACTTTCACATGTCATTTCATGGGATACCAACTGTGGTGATGTCAGGTGGTCTGGGAAGGATGTAGGAGCTCCACTTCACAGATATTACACTCAAGTCTCTACCTCTTTTCTCCCGGGAGACACTACCTTCTTTCTAGAGATAATTAGCCTAATTATAATATCCGTATATATCCATATGTAAGTCCTTAGAATTTTCCAATCTCTTTTTCATCCTTTTTTTTCTTCTTTCTTCTTGAGATGGAGCCTTGCTCTGCTACCAGGCTAGAGTGCACTGGCTTGATCTCAGCTCACTGCAACCTCTGCCTCCCAGGTTCAAGCGATTGTCCTGCCTCAGCCTCCGGAGTAGCTAGGACTACAGGCTGGTGAAACCATGCCCAGTTAATTTTTGTATTTTTCGTAGAGATGGGGTTTCACCATGTTGGCTTAAGTTGGCCAAGATGGTCTCCATCTCTTGATTTCATGATCCGTTCTCCTTGGCCTCCCAAAATGCTGGGTGGGATTACAGGTGTGAGTCACCATGCCAGACCCTTTTTTTTTTTTTTTGAGATGGAATTTTGTTCTTGTTGCCCAGGCTGGAGTGCAATGGCGTGATCTCAGCTTACTGCAACCTCCACCTCCTGGGTTCAAGCAGTTCTCCTGCCTCAGCTTCCCAAGTAGCTGGAATCACAGGCATGTCCCACCAGGCCCAGCTAATTTTGTATTTTTAGTAGAGATGGGGTTTCACCATGTTGGTCAGGCTAATCTTGAATGCCTGACCTCAAGTGATTCCCCTGCCTTGGCCTCTCAAAGTGCTGGAATTACAGGCATGAGCCACTAAGCCTGGCCTATATGACCAATGTATTTTATGCCATGCACTGTTATCTCAGCTATCAGGATGGATAGGTACCATTCCAATTCCCATTAGGCAGTAAAGAATACAGTAGTAGTAGCTAATAGTTATTGAAGCTTTACAATATGTAAGGCACTGTTGTAAGCAGTTTACATATATAAGTTATTTAATCTTCAGAACAATCTAGAGGTAAATTCCACAGTTAATCCTGATTTTGTAGAATAGAAAGCTGACCTAAGTTAGTTCTCATTCAAGGTCAGCATAGCTTTGGAAAGCTAAGGTGGGAGGATCTCTTGAGTTCCAGAGTTCAAGACCAGCCTGGGCAAGTCAGACCCTATCTCTACAGAAAGTACAAAAAATTACCTAGCATGGTGCCACATACCTGTAGTCCCAGCTATTCAGGAGGCTGAGGTGGCAGGATCCCTTGAGCCCCGGGGGTTGAGCGGTTGAGACTACAGTGAGCAGTGTTTACAGGGCTGCACTTGCCTGGACAACAGAGGTTGCATCCCCCAAAACACAAACAGATCAACATAGTTGCAAAGTGCAGCATAATAATAGGAGGTGGAGTCAGTCTTAGAATCCCTGCAGTCCAATCCCGCCCTGGACTTTATGCTCTACCACTGCATTAATAAAGCCTCCCATTGAACCTAGTGACTCCCCAGTCAAGTTTTGAGATGATGCTCTAGACTTAACTTTGATTAGACCTTCTAAACCCAAATTTGAAGTGAGGACCAGACCAGAAAATCCAGGATAAATGGTGGCTAGAGCCACAGGTGTAGCTTTTAATAGATGTAGGCTAACAGCTGCCATTTTTCCGTTCTGTAGATGTATTATCCTGTTTTCATTTTCCCCAGAACCCTGCAAGGCAGTGGTTTTATTTCCTAAAAGAAACTGGCAGGATAGGGACCTTACCATAGAACAGAGTTCTGGAAGAAGGGAACTGACCCAAGTCCCTTGGAGCTGCCCCTAGCATTCCCTGACCCCCATTCTTGGTGTTTTTTTCAGACCCCATGCCACAGCTGGATGTGACTGAGGCCAACAAGGAGTTCATGGAACAGAGTGAGGAGCTGTATGACGCTCTGATGGACTGTCACTGGCAGCCCCTGGACACAGTGTCTTCAGAGATCCCTGCCATGATGTAGCTAGGCCAAAGGACAAGCCAGGCTGCACGACGTGAGATGAGAGACTCCTTTTAAAAAAGCCAGGTGCAGTGGCTCATGCCTGTGATTCCAGCACTTTGGGAAGCCGAGGCAGGCGGATCACGAGGTCAGGAGTTGGAGATAAGTCTGGCCAATTTGGCAAAAAAAAAAATCGCTACTAAAAAAAAAAAAATTAGCTGGGTGTGGTGGCACACACCTATAATCCCAGCTGCCTGGGAGGTTTGAGGCAGGAGAATTGCTTGAACCTGGGAGGCAGAGGTTACAGTGAGCTGAGATGATGCCACTGCACTCCAGCCTGGGCGATCGAGTGGGACTCCATCTCCAAAAAAAAAAAAAAAAATTGTGAAATCTTTTTGGAAATAGGATTTTATAGACTGTTTCTAGAGAATGTTTCTGCATCACTGCTGCATTCATTTGACCATTTGAAGATCAAGGGAACAACTTTTAAACAAGGTTCAAATTGCTTTCCCTCACAAGAAATCTTTGTCCAGGCAGTTATCCACACTTCTGGACATAGGACAGTTTGGGATTACCCGAAACTGGGACGAGCAGTTTGGGATGATTTAAACACTAAAGCCTGGGTTAGAGGCTTCTCTCAGTTGACAGGTATGTAAATCAAGGTTCTCTGGAGCATCTGTAGTACCTGCTGCATTTTAGAGTCCTAACAAACTTGTCACAGGTCTGGCAGCTAGGTAGAAAGGGCACTCTATAGCAGGGGTGGGAGCATGCCTCTAGGAGATAGAATGTGGTGGGTGTGATGGAATTGGTACTAGCTCAGGCATGGTTGGCTCACACTTGTAATCCCAGCACTTTGGAAGACTGAGGCAGGCGGGTCACGAAATTGAGATCATCCTGGCCAACACGGTGAACCCCATCTGTGCTAAAAATACAAAAGTTAGCTGGGCTGGGCATGGTAGCTTGAAGCTGGGAGGTGAGGACTGTACTCCAACCTGGTGACAGAATGACTGTCTCAAAAAAAAAATTGCTACTTGCTAGCCTATTTTCATGAGTTGCAGCATCTCCACCTACAAGGCCTGGATTACCTTAGGGATCAATAGTTTGATACAGGAGAAGGCAGTTTAGAAAGGATTAAGTTGACCAAGATAGCTTTAAAGCCAAAGCAGACCTTCATGTGAACCTTATACTGGTCCCTTTTGTGTTTCCGGAGTAAATGGGAAAATTTTGCTGGCCCCTGCTGGAGGCAAAGCATTGATCCTAGATCATAAAAAACCTCCAAAGATCTTAAGGGCTAGGCATGCTGCCTATTACCCCAGCAATTTGGGCGGTGGATTACTTGAGCTTGGGAGAGACCAGACTTGATATCTACAAAAGATACAAAGACAAACATACTTCTAGAGTCTTTTATTGATCACCTCTTAAGTTCAGTAGCACACTACATAATTTTTTGCATTAGCAAAAAAACAAAAGTCTCCACCTAGAACATGCCGCTGTTCCTACCTATAATGACCAGGGTCTTGCCTTCTGCTTCCCATATTCTCCTGAAAAGGAAGTGTAAGCCATTGTGTTAATAATTCCCAGATTTCCCGCACCCAGACATTTTCCTAGGAGCTGGTCTCAGTCCCATATCCGCATTTCTCATCCATGGATGTCCACTCAGATTAGGTTTCATCCTGGACCAGTCATTCTAAATAAATACAGCCTGTGCTAGATGGAACCCCTCATTTCTACCCCGTAGTCCATTTCCCAACTCTCCCTGAGGCTGAGAGAAGCTGAAGTCCTATCAAACAATGCATCGTGAGCTCCAGCCACCACAACACATTTGCCGCTACCAGGCCCTGTGGCCTGCAGTGCAGAGCTGTTCCCTCTGCTGCCTTCAACTTTAAGCATGTGGTCATGCATTTTAGGGTGGGCAAATCATAATGTAAGCATTTCTTTGCCCCTCTGGTAATGAACAGCTAACAGGGTACACAAAGAAGGCCAGATGTAAATGTCACTAAAATGCTAAGACTTTCTGGCCTGGCACAGTGGCTCACACTTGTAATCCCAGCACTTTGGGAGGTCAAGGCAGGCACATCACTTGGGGTCAGGAGTTCAAGACCAGCCTGGCCAACATGGCAAAACTCTACTAAAAATACAAAATTAGCCGGGCACAGTGGCTCAAGCCTGTAATCCCAGCACTTTGGGAGGCCAAGGCTGGTGGATCATGAGGTCAAGAAATCGAGACCATCCTGGTCAACATGGTGAAACACCGTCTCTACTAAAAATACAAAAAATTAGCTGGGCATGGTGGCGCGTACCTGTAATCCCAGCTAGTCAGGAGGCTGAGGCAGGAGAATTGCCTGAACCCGGGAGGCAGAGGTTACGGTGAACTGAGATCGTGCCATTGCACTCCAGCCTGGGTAAAAAGCGCAACTCCGTCTCAAAAAAAAAAAAAAAAAATACAAAATTAGCCAGGCATGGTGGTGCATACTTAATGGTTCTAGCTACTTGGCAGGCTGAGGCAGGAGAAACACTTGAACCTGCGAGGCAAAGGTTGCAGTGAGCCAAGATCACACAACTGCACTGGAGCCTGAGAAACAGGAAGATCTTGTCTCAAAAAAATAAAAGGCCTTAACACTGACAGACCTGAGTAACCTTATGGTTCTATTTGCTTGAGTACTTAGGACAGGATCCCTGATAGTTGAGCACTACCTGAAGCTACAAGCAAAGTTGTGAGAAAGCTTCAGGTTGTCACTAACTTACCCAACTCCATAGGATCCATAGTCACAAATGAGGACAGCTTTATGTGTAACATCAATCTACAAGAAAAAAAGGACACCCTTAAGAGGCAAGAAAGCTATGACAGATCCCTCCCAAATGCAGTAATCGGCCAGCAATTACTATACCAACTTGCAGAGCTTCACATGTATCCTTCCCTTAGCCAAAGTTATACTTCATTTTACAATTTCAGAGACCCAACCATCTATGAACCTGTTTGAAACTAGCCCACATGGTATATACCAGATTACAGCATTGAGGCTGGCTTCAGTATTAGTTTTCCTCCTTTTGCGACCACCAAGACCAACGTTCAGATCTGATGGGAAAGGGTACAGGAGGACTAAGCTGTGTTGTTCCACATCAGCTTTACCTTAAAGCACAGCTCCAGAAACAAGCTGATCTCAGAATCACACTGCCAGCAAACCTGGGGCAACCTGCAGAACAAAAAGGTTAGTGTGAAAACTCTAAACCAGCCCAGCATGATGGAATGATGGTGGTGCCTGGAATCCCAGCTACTAGGGAGGTTGAGGCAGGATAATCACTTGAACCTGGGAGGCGGAGGTTGCAGTGATCACCACTGCACTCCAGCCTGGGAGAGACTCAAAACCACCACCACCACCACAAAAAAAAACTCCATTCAGGGTTGGAAAAAAGGATGCCATATCTATAGAAAACTTTATCCTCCAACCCCCAGTATTCTGGGTGGAAAAAAAAACCACTCCAAACCAAGAAGTTGATTCAACAAACCCGTCTACATGAAGTTGACAAGTGGAAGACTTCCAGCCCTGGTCCTGAAACATTATAGGAAAGCCGAGTGGCAGCGGCAGGTATTTACTGACCTGTGCTGTCAAAGTCTTTCCAGGTTGCTCTTGCATGCAGTTGGAGATCCCATGGCTACAACCAGCCACAGCCCTTGGAAACATGCTGTTCTGTCCCACCAGGCATCCCCCAAAGTCAGTCTCCAAAAAAGAAACCTACCAGGTCCTTTAATGTTTGCATTTCATCACTCTCATGGCCCTGGGAGCCCTTGATCACCAAAAAAATCATCTTCTGTCATCTTAAGAGTCTTCATCTGGAACAGCAAAATGAGAACAATTGTCATGATCTTAGTTCTCACCATTTGGTCCTCAGAATCATAAAAGTCTGACCAGTCTTTGGTGCCTATTACTGATGCCTTAAGCTATCAGTTAAGCTGTGTCATATCCCAACTGGACTTTCCCAATTATGAGTGTTATGCTGGTTAACCGTACATGCAACCCCCCAACCTTTCTGCTGGTCTGTGGAAACATGCCCATTTTGATAAAGGTCTCTCTGGCTACAGTTGAAAGATGGCAGATACAATGGAACTGTCTTTTCCCAAAATGTTGCAGATCAGTTACAACAAACAGAACGGCGACCGTCAAGGAAAACTGTCACTCTGGGCTCCTTTTTGACCACAGCAGCTATGCGGAAGCAGCTGCAGCTTCGATAAGGGCCAAGGGGCAATTCAGGTCCCAGGGCAGCCACCTAAGGCCTCACCTGTCCATCATTACTACCTGAAGTACGCCGGGAACTCTGCAGACCAAAAGAGTCAACAGTCATTCTGCAGGCCCGACCGACCACGCTGTGCCAATCTTTGGTGTGCTTTTTCTCATTTCATCTTAATGGGACCGTTTTATCCCTCTATTACAGATAAGAGGTTTAGACCAATTAACTTACTTGCTGGAGGTCGCTTAGTCACTTAGCAAGGCTGAAAGCAAGAAGCTGGGATGCAAACACGGGTCTGAATGCCTAAAACCCGTCCCTGAAACCGCGTCCACGAGGGTGACCTCCAGAGGGCTCGCGCGTAGTCACCAGCCCCAAAGTCACCTAGCTGGTAACTGTCAGATTCCATTAGAGGCCATCCTGACACCAGCATGCGGCCTCCCCCAAATTAAGGCCCAGGGCTTCGTCCCTGCATCCCCCAGGAGCCCGGTTGCGAAAATCCCACCCCTTCTGTTCACCCGACCGCCTACTCGCAACACTCACCTGTCAGCCCAGAGCGCAGCTTTGCCGAGGCAGAGGCGAGAGAAGGGAGCGGCCCCAGGCCCCTCTCACGGCCGAGGGAGCCTTCTGGAGCTCAAGCCCACAGGGTGGGAAGGCCTGGCTCCTCCGTGCCACGTTGACCACCATCCCACGGCCTTGGGAGAAAGCCGCAGCGAGTGCGGGCCGGTAGCGGCGATGACTAAGCGGGGAAGGGCTCGCAGGGCAGCAGAAGAGGATACAAGTTGGCCAACCAGCAGACAGCCACCGCGGCTGGGAGAAAGGATGGTGCTTCCGCAGGCAAGGGCTTATATAGGCCGCCCGCGTGCCCCGCCTGACGGTCGGGCGCGCGCGTGGCGCACAGCTGGCTGGGAGTTGTAGTTCGCTCGCCCTGCCGTTGTCCGCGTGTCACCTCCCCAGCCTTACGCGCGCGTGTCCGGCCCAAGCCCGCGAAGCGCGAACCGCCAGAGGCTTTCCTCCGGGCGCGAAGAATCGCCTTCACCTTTCCGTACCAGGCGCCGGGCCGACGCAGGAAGCAGACCCGCCGTGGCTTCGGGAGGGCAAGGCAGGCGGATCACCTGAGATCGGGAGTTCGAGACCAGACTGACCAACGTGGAGAAACCCCGTCTCTACTAAAAATACAAAAAATTAGCTGGGCATGGTGGCACGTGCCTGTAATCCCAGCTACTCAGGAGGCTGAGGCAGGAGAATTGCCTGAACCCAGGAGGCAGAGGTTGCGATGAGCCGAGATCGCGCCATTGCACTCCAGCCTGGGTAAGAAGAGCGAAACTCAGTCTCAAAAAAAAACACAAAAAAACAACAAAAAAAACAAAAACCCATAAGAAAAAAATTTATATCCACTGGGGGGCACAGTGGCTCAGGCCTGTAATCCCACCAATTTCGGAGGTCAAGGCTGGTGGATCACCTGACGTCAGAAACTAGAGGCCAGCCTGGCCGACATGGTGAAATCCCGTATCTACTAAAATACAAAAAAGAAAAAAAAAAAAAAAAATGCCTGGCGTGGTGGTTCACACCTGTAATCCCTGCACTTTGGGAGCCTAAGGCGGGTGGATCACCTGAGGTCAGGAGTCCGAGACCAGCCTGACCAACATGGTGAAACCCTGTCTCTATTATTAAAATAATAATAATAATAAAATATACACACAAAAAAATTAGCTGGGCATGGTGGCACACATCTATAGTTCCAGCTACTTGGGAGGCTGAAACACAAGAATCCCTTGAACCTGGGAGGCAGAGGTTACCGAAAGCTTAGATCGGCTGTTTTTGTATTTTTAGTAGAGATGGGGTTTCTCCATGTTGGTCAGGCTGATCTTTAACTCCCAGCCTCAGGTGATTCTCCTGCCTCGGCCTCCCAAAGTGCTGGGCTTACAGGCCTGAGCCACCATGCCCAGCCTAAAAAACACTTATATCATGTTATTTGCCTGCTCAGAAATCTCCCATGACTTCCCAACACAGAATAAAAATGGAAATCCCCGTAATGGTCTCCAAAGCCACATACAGTCAGGCTCCTCCTCCTCACTGCCCTCATCAGCCACCACTTGCTCCCTCAGTCAGTCGGCTCCATCTCCCTGGACTCTGCTCTTTTCGGAGCACCCCGGAGCCTTTGCTCTTGCTGCTCCTCTTGCCTGGAACTCGCCCCACCTGAATATCATCACGGACAATCACACTTCTTACTGCCTCACTTCCCCTGGGTTTCTGTCCACATGCCACCTCCTCAGGCCATCCTGTTTTGATACAGTACCCCACCATTCTCCAACCTCAACCTTCAAGTCACTGCCTGTTTGATTGTTATTTAATTTATAGCACTTAGTGCTTCCTGACATGGTATTTTGTATGTATTTTGTTTTCTCTATTAGAATGTCAGCATCCCGGCCGGACGTGGTGGCTCACGCTTGTAATCCCAGCACTTTGGGAGGCCAAGGCGGGTGGATCACAAGGTCAAGAGATCGAGACCAACCTGGTCAACATGGTGAAACCCCGTCTCTACTAAAAATACAAAAAAATTAGCTGGGCATGGTGGCGCATGCCTGTAATCCCAGCTACTCAGGAGGCTGAGGCAGGAGAATCGCCTGAACCCAGGAGGTGGAGGTTGCGGTGAGCCGAGACCGTGCCATTGCACTCCAGCCTGGGTAACAAGAGCAAAACTATGTCTCAAAAAAAAAAAAAAAAAAGAATGTCAGCATCCCAAGAGAGCTGGGATTTTGTCTTTTTTCCCCCCTACTCCTGTATAAATGCCTGGTATGTAAAAGATGGCCAGCAATCTTGAAATAATCACCAAGTGAATGAATGAATGAATAAAACTTGGCCCAGGTTCACATAACCAGCAAGTGGCCACTGGAACTACAATCCAAATCTGTTCTTTTCTTTTTTCTTTCTTTCTTTCTTTCTTTTTTTTGAGATGGAATGCCTGACTGGAGTGCAGTGGTACAATCTCGGCTCACAGCCACCTCTGCCTCCCAGGTTCAAGCAATTCTCCTGCCTTAACCTCCTGAGTAGCTGGGATTACAGGCTTGCAACACCAAGCCCAGATAATTTTTTTTTTTTTTTTTTTTTTTTTTTTTTAGAACGAGTTTTGCTCTTGTTACCCAGGCTGGAGTGCAATGGCGCGGTCTCGGCTCACCGCAACCTCCGCCTCCTGGGCTCAGGCAATTCTCCTGCCTCAGCCTCCTAAGTAGCTGGGATTACAGGCACGCGCCACCACGCCCAGCTAGTTTTTTGTATTTTTAGTAGAGACAGGGTTTCACCATGTTGACCAGGATGGTCTCGATCTCTCGACCTCGTGATCCACCCGCCTCGGCCTCCCAAAGTGCTGGGATTACAGGCTTGAGCCACCGCGCCCGGCAATTTTTGTTATTTTTAATAGAGATGAGTTTCATCATGTTGGTCAGGATGGTCTCGATCTCTTTTTTTTTTTTTTTTTTTTTTTTGAGACAGAGTTTCCCTCTTGTTACCCAGGCTGGAGTGCAATGGTGCGATCTCGGCTCACCGCAACCTCCGCCTCCCGGGTTCAGGCAATTCTCCTGCCTCAGCCTCCTGAGTAGCTGGGATTATAGGCACACGCCACCATGCCCAGCTGATTTTTTGTATTTTTAGTAGAGACGGGGTTTCACCATGTTGACCGGGATGGTCTCGATCTCTTGACCTCGTGATCCACCCGCCTCAGCCTCCCAAAGTGCTGGGATTACAGGCTTGAGCCACCGCGCCCGGCTCGATCTCTTTTTTTTTTTGAAACGGAGTTTCACTCTTGTTACCCAGGCTGGAGTAGAATGGCACAATCTCGGCTCACCTCAACCTCTGCCTCCTGGATTCAGCCAATTCTCCTGCCTCAGCCTCCCGAGTAGCTGGGATTACAGGCATGCGTCACCATGTCCAGCTGATTTTTTGTATTTTTAGTAGAGACGGGGTTTCACCATGTTGAACAGGATGGTCTTGATCTCTTGACCTCGTGATCCACCCGCCTCGGCCTCCCAAAGTGCTGGGATTACAGGCTTGAGCCACCACGCCCGGCCGGTCTCGATCTCTTGAACTCGTGATCCACCAGCCTCAGCCTCCCAAAGTGCTGGAATTACAGGCGTGAGTCACTGCCCTGGGCCCAACTGAGATCTGTTCTAATGCAAATGCAGATAAACTTAACTGCTGTGTCTGGAGGCTCCTCCAGAATTTACCCTTTGTGGTGGGTACCTCACTTAAATGAAGAGGAAGCAGGGACCAGGGAAGCGAAATAACTTACCCCAGGTTACACAGTGAATCTGTGGCAGAGGTCAGCTGACATCTGGATTTAACTGCAGTCAGAGGCAGACACATGATCCCAGCCCACAGTAGGAGCATCTGAAAGAGGGAGGAAGTTCAAGAAGCCAGATGCTGACAGTGCACTGCCCACGTGGGCTGACCAGAAAGGCCTCAGGGAGGGCTGGGGTCAGACTGCATTTCCAGCTGCTTTGTGCCTCTCTGGAGTCTCCTTTCTACTTGACCTTCCCAGATCCCATGTATCCTTGGAGACCCAGCTTCAACATCAGCTGGGATGGGCTTCTCTGACCCTTTGGCTTCCTAATTCCAGCTCTATTATGGTGTTTGAATGAATGGAGGGATGAATGAACAGCACTTATCCACTTTCTTTAATTCATCTAGCTATAAATTTTTACTGAGTTACTTTATTTATTTATTTAGTTTTGAGATGGAGTCCTGCTTTGTCACCCAGGCTGTAGTGCAGTGGTGCGATCTCGGCTCACTACAACCTCTACCTCCCAGGTCCAAGAGATTCTCCTACCTCAGCCTCCCAAGTAGCTGGAATTACAGGCGGCCACCACCATGCCTGACTAATTTTGTATTTTTAGTAGATACAGGGTTTCATTCACCATGTTGGCCAGGCTGGTCTTAAACTCCTGATCTCAAGTGATCTGCTCACCTTAGCCTCCCAAAGTGCTGGGATTATAGGTGTGAGCCATGTGCCAGCTTGAGTATCTACTTTATGCCAAGCACTGAGTTAGGCCCTGAGGATACAATCATAGTCCCTGCCCTCAAGAAGCCTGCAGGGTAGGAGAGAGACTGACATCACAGGTGGTCAGAAGTGCATGTGGTCCAGGCATAGTGGCTCACACCTGTAATCCCTGCACTTTGGGAGGCCGAGGCAGGCAGATCACTTGAGGTCAGAAGTTTGAGACCGGCCTGGCAACATGATGAAACCTGGTCTCTACTAAAAATACAAAAATTAGCTGGGTGTGGTGGTGGGCCTGTAATCCCAGCTACTTGGGAGGCTGAGGTAGGCAGATGGCTTGGACCCAAGAGGTGGAGGTTGCAGTGAGCCGAGATTGTAACACTGCACTCTAGCCTGGCAACAGAGTGAGACTCTTGTCTCAAACGAACAAACAAACAACGAAGAGAGAGACTAGAGCTGTCTGGGGCTGGCTGGAACTCCAGCCTCATTGCCCTGGGCTTCCAGAAGGCCGGCCTGGAAAGGGTGGAGTAAACCTTGGTGGCTCATGTGCTGCCTTACCCTAGCCCCTCACCCAAGCAAGACTCAACCAGTGTCTTAGTTCTCATGGGACATGCCTTGTCCCCTTTTGTGGCATCAAGGGTGTGATGAAGGATGAGACAAACCTGAACGTGAGCCCCAGCTCTGCTGTGTGACCTGGGACAAGCCATGCCTCTGAACCTGTCTTCTCAGCTCTAAAAGGGGCACTCCATGGCCCTATCAAAGGGTTGCTGCCCACAAAACAAGAACTGACCTTTGGCCTTATATATGTTAGTTGTCAGATCCACAGGCCAACTTCACTCCTTTTAGAATTGCAGT